TATCCTTTTTCTCATAGGGAATGACAATACAATAACAATACGAATAAAACCAAACGTTTCGCACAAAAAAGTGCCTCCGTCAGTGGCAAGAAATAAGTAATTAGGCATGCATGTTTTCTTTCGATAAAATCGATGAAGTAGTTATCTTTATTTTTTAATATATATTTTCAGCAGTTTTTTAAGCACATCATGGAAGCTTATAAACATTTGTGTATTTCATCGGCAACCCGGCTGGCCAGACCGAGACGGTGCCGCATTTAGTTCTCATCGATGTTAAACCTATACACTTTTTTCCACTGACGAAGGCACGTTGTTGTCCGAAACGTTTGGTTTTATTCGCATTGTTTTTATATTGTCATTGTCCGTGAGAAAAACATACTCATATGGACTGGTCTCAGTTCATGTAGAAATTGTTGCACATTCATCAACACAGATAAAATGAATATTAGCCTTCACCACACATATAAGTAGAGGTAAGTAGACCGCGCCCCCTGTTTTTCACCAATAAATCGCGGCAAAGCGAAGGATTGCGACGGTTCTTTGGTGCCCTGGAGTTAATCAATTTTACAGCTTCCCGGAAAATTAAATAGCCCCTATCATTTTTGCATCTTGTCTGATAATTTTAAATCCCTGAACCAAATTACCTTTGACCTGTGATTATTTTTCTCAAGATCATGTCAGGCCAGATTAGCAATTGAAAGTCATCGCACATCTTCTGTGTGTTTCCATAGTCGTTTCGTGATTAGCAACGTGACAACATGTGAAATATACTATCTAATGTTCGTCTCATTGATTGTTGTGGGTGCCAAGGTCACGTGAAACTCAGGTTAAGGTCATTTACTTGAAATGATCTCGGTTAACTTCCTTAAATTTACACCCTTTTACTGTCGTTTTTAGGAAGTGTTGGTTTGAAATTTAGCACCCATTTTAGCATTTGAAAACTAGGCATATACTTAGGTATCAGTTATAGTGCCTATGCAATATGTTGCAAGGCTGTAAGTGCTGGTTAACATTCTATGGATAGCCGGCAGAACGCCTAATGGGTGATCTGGCGTGACCCGTCCTACCCCAAATGCTTTGATACATGTCTTTGATCAAAGCAAGTGCAAAGTCGGAGTCAGAAGCAAGCCAAGTCCCAGCAGACTTCACTTGTAGAAATTCTAGCAGGACCCAATTTCCCGTGCTTTTGGGTTATTAACCTGATCTGGGAGGTCAACCAGTGACCTAGGATCTCAGCATTGACCAGGACATAAAAATAATTGGCTTTTTCTCGTCAGCGATGACCAGGACCCTCAAATCATCGGATTTCCCTCGCCACGAGCAGCTCGCTCTCTTTTTATTTTTCAGCAAAGCTCTGGCTCTTTTTATCAAGGGCCGAATGGCTGAGGGTTTCTACGTCCCTCTGCTACATGTAAGACGCTGAAAAGAAATGCCTAAATGGGTGAGGGTTAAATATCAATTGGTTTTTAAGTGCCGAAGCCCGAAGCACTTTAATTTTCTTCGATAGCAGTTTTTAAGACCAACGAGCTCGAATACTATAACTTCTTGAACAATGTAAGCACCACATAAAATGAATCGTGAGAGAAGCGGCTCAAGATTAAGGAGCTATGAGACACTTAATAAAAACGGCATAGGTTAGAAACTGCACCTAACTTGCACTGGTTTTTAAACCTTTTCGTTGCAGACTGGTAGATTAAATTTTAGGATTGATTTCAGCTGATGCTCTAATGGAGCTATTCATTCGTTCATTCATGCGACCATCCAATTCCACTCATAAAAGAAGCCAGTGATAAAATTGTTCATTTTAGATGTGTGAAATACAAACTCAATAAAAGTTTAATGATACGGCAAATTTGACAGCTTTTATAATGAACAGACAAATAACTTTAACAAATCAAGGTTGAGAGCCCCAAATAGGGGAGAGTGAGGTAAGATGAGCCAAGGGGCAAGTTTAGCCACCCCATGTTTCTCAGCTCCTATGGCGCTAATTGACTTGAGCTTCCATGTGCCGTTCGCTTACGATGCTGCAGTCTTTCACGTGAGACGGCAACGTTCTCACGCTCAGCACCCGGTAACATGTGGTATCGCCCCTGATAACTAAGACATGTTTTGCCTTTAAAATGAGATGGTTTGTTATCTGCGGTGCATGGTTATTTTCCTTAGCGGGTGTCATTAATCGAAAATGGCCACGGGTGGGGCAAGATGAGCCATTTTCACCTGGGGGAAGATGAGCCGGATAAGCCATTGTTGTCTCCACTGTCGAAAACCAAACTGAGCTGCGCTTGTTTCTGCTGAATAAAAATGGGAGGAGGTTTTTTTATTACACAAGTTGTAAGTAATTTGCAGATCATCTGAGGGATAAAATGATTTCTTCCGTGATAGAAAACTTGACGAGCTATTGGAAGGCTTAAAACAGTCACTTTTTGATGGAGGAAAAAAACTTTGCCATAAGTATGTATGCCATGGAGTAAATAAAAGAGCCCACTCTTCGCCGCGCCCGGGAAAAGAAGAGCTTCGCTTTTTCTATCCATGCTCAACTTTCCCCACGACGTGTCTCAACTTACCCCGCCCATGGGGAAGGATGAGCAACGTGCAAGATGATTTTTGACGTAGCCTTTCAGTACAAAAATAAGCGGTATGAAACATTTCTGGCCACCATTACATGCGCAAATGATCACTCTGTCCGTCCAACCCGTAAAAGTTTACTCAAAACCGGTGTGACTGAGGCACTCTTCGCTACATCTCGTGACGGCCACCATTGTGTTGCATTTTTTTTTTTCGGTAAGCTATAAGTTAATAAGGAAAGGATTGGTGAGTGGGTTGAAAACAGCCCTCATCCTCCACCCCCCCCCCCTCCTTCTTCTGGAAACATAAGTAACCGAAAGATCTGGCGATGGTTTATCCACCCCGTCTGCCGCCGCGCTGCGAGACCTCGATTCGTTCGGTATGTGGCTTCCTGAGCGGTCCTCCCCGGAGGCAAGGTGAAAGGTCATGGCCTGTATCAGAAATTTATACGTTGCTGAATATGTTTTATAGTTCTTCCAAGGCCTTGGACACCGTTTTATTATATCGGATAAACATTGCACTTTCTTGTCAATCAATACATTTAAAGAAAACTTGATCATAATCTTATACTGCGGCAATTGTAGTTCTGCTTACGGTTGCCTCTTTATGATACGGGCCACCACCACCTCCACTGCGCTGGAGCTCTGGCGTTCTACCCCTCCCCGCTACGGACCGGCCCTCGGGCTAAGGTGTGTTAGTACTGAGCGCAAACGTGTAGTAGTCACGTGACTTTCATTCACGTAGCGGGAACGGAAGCTATAGGCGATACCAAGGACGGGCTCTGGGGAGGCAACCGGCGCGGAAAAATAGCACGATTGTAGTTTTGGAAGAATATCTGTTGCGGCAAGAGGAATTATACAAAACATACGTCCTAGGAGCAAACATGTGTTATTCCTCCATACTTTGCGCTACATTTCCTCTCTCCAATGGCCAGCACTTCGCAAATAATAGCGCAATTCTAAATTGGTAATATATGTGTACAGTAGCAACTGCGGGTCCCTGTACCAACCCCAGGACGGTGGACGGCTGATGGTGGACGGCTGATGGTGGACGGCTGACGGTGGACGTCCACTGTCCATCGTACAGCGCAGCCGATGTTGGCCACTCCACCAGCAGGTGGGAAATGCTGGTGGCTCGGACAGCCCGCCAATGTCAGTCTCCCTCCCTGCAGGCCGCGGAGACCGGCGAAACTAGGGCGGCGGGCGGTCCGACGCGCCGGACGGCCGGGACGCCGCGGCCAGAGGACCGGACGGGGAGGGACGGCAGCGCGCGGCGCCCGCCGACTTTCCTGGCCTCTGGCCATGCACCGGTACATGTACGGCTTCCCGCGCCGGGCGCTGCGCGCTCGATGCGCGGTGCAGCCGGCGCCGGTCCGGAACGGGCGGGGCGCCGCGCGGCCCTCGCGGTCCCACCGGCGGCCGCCTGGACGCGCCGCTGCCGCCGCGTCCGCTCGGCCGGAACCACAGGCACCGGACCGCCGAGCCGCCGCCGCCGCCGGCCGCCGCCGCAGCAGCCGCCCGAGCAACAGGTAGATGGGCGGCGGCGCGGCGGGGACGAGACGAGACGCCGCGGCGGCGGCGGCGATGCGGCAACAGCTGCCGTCGCGCCGGCGTCATCCATCAGCGGGCGGCGGCCGGCGCCTCCGTCTGCCCGGATAACTGTACCACCACCCGGCCGGACGCCTGGCGCTCAGCGCTCCCCGTCCATCACAAGACCGGCGTGTGGTGCCGAGACCAGCTGTCGGCCTCGACAGCGGACCGTCACAATCGGCCATCCGTGAGCGCTCTCTGACGACATGCGTGTCGCAACGCTATCAGTGGTGTCACCACTGTTCTGCGGCGCCGCGCACAGCCTAGCTGACGGGCCCGCTCCGACCAAAACAGGCGAGCGGTTGGCTCCGGCCGCCGCGCGTGCCACAGATAGCCAGCCCAGAGTCCGGCCGACGCCCCAAACACACTCGAGAGACGTGTGTTTGGCCGGCAGAGGCGGCAGCCGCCGCCGCGGCGAGGGGTGCAACCACCGGCCAACTGGGGCGGACGCACAATGTGGGGAACGGCGGTGATGGGAGACGACAGCAGACGAAGAGACAAGGAAAAAATGAAACAGAGCACCGGGTGCGACAGGCGGTGGGCGCCGGGAGGCGGTGTGGCGCTGAAGGGCGCTGGCAGCTGGCGTCCCGCACCACACGGTCGGTTACGTCACGACGGGCCGGTCCGGAGCGGGCGGGGGAGGCGCTGGGCCGACCCGAGACGCCGCTGGTCCCAGCCCAGCCCAGCGCGGCGCGTCTCGGGTCGAGTCGGCGCCGTCTCAGCAGCGCCACAGGAAGCGACGCGCCGCCGACTCGGGCAACACAATCCGGCGGCGTCCTTGGCCGCAGGCTAGCCTTGAACCGGGCGGCGGGCGCCGCGCGCCAGCCAGCCCGGTCCGGCACTCACCTCAGCTGCTGGGCGTCCTCCTGGTGGTCCGTCGCGCTGCGTCAGCACTGCCGCCGCCGCGGCGCTCCGTGTCGCTCAGCACTGCGCACTGCGCGATCTCGCGCGTTCCCCAAAACCACCACACAGGCGCGCGGCCCTCGGCCGTCTCCCGCCCAGCACAGGCACTGCACTGGCCGCCTCCCCGCCGCCGCCGCCGTCGGCCGCCGCAGCCGCCGCCGCCGCGGACCGATGACGTCACAGGTGCGCGGTGCCGGCGTCGCCGCTAGGTGGCAGGCCGGTCGGTGGTCGTCCGTCGTCCGTGGCCGGCGATCGGTCGCCGAGATAATCTGGAATTGCAGCCATTGTTAGTGGCGGCGACGATGCACGGTCCGGCGCCGTAATGAGCGGGGCCCGGACCGCAGCGACAGAGGGACGCTGTGGGGCCCGGGGCTCCGTCGGGACGGCGCCGCGGCGTCCTCAGGGCCTGTCGGACCTCACCGCGCCGCCCCTGCCCTCCGCCAGCCCGACCCGGTCCCTCCCCTCCCCTTCCCCCGCCGTCGTATCGTCCCACTCCTCCAGTGCCTGCCGCGCGGGGCGCCCAGCTCTGCCCACGCCCCACAGCATTCCAACGCGCTGCGCATCACAACTATCCCGTCCAGAGTCCCCTTCCCGCCCAGTCTGAGCTGCTGCCGCGCAGTCGGGCCAGAGCCGACAATTACAGACGGCCAATAATGCGATTTCCTTGCCGATGGCAAGGTCAATGGCAATTCTGGCGGCGTGGTGGCTGCGGTCGGTGGTCGGGAGCCGGGTGCCGCCCTAAAAACGGCCCGGCCCGGCACAGGCCGCCCGCGCCCGGTCGCAGCTCCGAGCGGAACGCTGAGAGGGCACAGAGACGGGCGGCAGGCGGCCAGAGGTGCTAAAAGGCCGCTCGGTGCGCGGGCGAGTGTCGGGGACCGGGGAGCGATTACAGCGAGCTGCAGCAGTCCACCAGTCGGCTCACTTTCGCCTGCTGAATCAGATCGTATAGTTCGCAGTTTCTGTCGTCGCCGCTGTGGGTCCACACGGGCTAACGCGGCGCACAGTTGCGTCAGGCGATGGCCACCTGACCTGGCCGCGGTCGGCGGCTCACAGCACCACCGAAATCGCGCGCACCCGACCAAATTTACATCTAAACCAGCACTTCACCGTGTTCTGACAATGTAATACGCCGGTTTCGCTTTCCAGTTTCGACTAAAAGCAGTCTCAGGCGTTTAACCATTGACATTCAGTTAGGTAGGTACACGAAAAGACTTTGATAAGGGAAGAAGGAAAGTGAAAAAACCTTCGAATGGGGGACGGCTTGGTTAACATGTAATAAAGCAAATACGGCTTGGTTAACATGTATTTGCTTTTATACATGTTAACCAAGCCGCGCGCGTTGTGCGCGTTACACAAAGTTAAAGGTAAGCTGCACTTCGATTTGAAGCGAATATTTACTGTTTTCAGCCACAATAGACAGCCACCCAATAGCAAGCGCAGTTGTAAAGACAGTGTGAAAGACACTGCCTAACAGGTACACAAATCACAAGTCACAAACACCGACACAATTTTTAACCATATAGTTTTCTCACAGCTAATTTGTGAAGTCCAGAACATCAAAACTTGAAATTCGGAGGGCTGGAAATAGTATCAATTTTTCATTTTTAAACCAGTCGTAAAGCAATACCTACTCCCTTGAGTAGAGCGCCTTCTCGCATGCACTGTGGCATATGTTCGATGATAGAGCCACTAGGAAATAACTAGCAATCCTGATAATGCAGCAAACATAATCAATTAACTAAATACTTATCTCTGGACAAAAAATATTTTGTGTTTAGTCAATGAAAATGAATATGCATTCACATCAAGTGCATGAATAAGTAATAACCACATCTTCCGACCAGGGTCCAATACACGGTACACCTGTGGAAGAAAGCCGACCTAAACAGTCAGCCGTGGACGTTCGACAATGCGGAAACAGCCCAATCGCAGCTTGTCCAAATCTGAAAGGCCACGCAGCGACATTGGGTAGAAAAAATACAACATGAACCTCAGTGAACCCTTGTGCTTTCGGTAGAAACCAGGAAAACGAGGCCGACTGGAAAGACACGGACGTGCCGGCTCATTTTCTAACATTGGACCGGCGATCATTACTGCTGCCAGCGACAACGCGAGGAAACAAACCGGGCACTTAGCTGTGAAAACGAACCCCCGGCAAAAAAGACAGCAATTACACCTCGGTCTCGATTATTAACCACATCTGTTTCTTCTTTGTGCAAGTCGTTTTTTCCCAGCAGTCGAGACAGCTCCTGAATGGCGTCCACAGCTACACTGTACTAGCAGCTCATCAGCACAATTTTCCACAGAAATGGAAGTAAAACGAGCTTTGCTTTCGCTGAGAAGGTTAAAAAAGGAGAATAAAGTGACATCCAATAGTTACGCCAAAGCCTGAGGACTGAGGAGGTCGTACCTACCCGAATTTAAATAAGTTTAAGACACGTAACGAACTTCCTGAAGAAGGAAATTATCATCTAAAGCAAAAAAAGCTGTCTGACTGACCAGAAACAAATCCAAATAAAAATGCATTTAGCCGAAAATTACGGCAAAAACGAGCCTCACCTTCAGGTGATCTTCACCGTTAAACTTTCGTTCCAGTCAACCAACACCAATGCCGTGAAGTTAGTTCTGGGCGTTAATTCCCGCCGAATCTGGCAACTGTCGTCGTCTGGCGTGGCCATGCATACAGAATCGGTCGGTGCCGCTCCTCTAATCCGCTGCCGGTCCAATTATCACCTCTCCTGCCCCTCCCCCTCCCCCAGGCAATCCACGCGCCGCTGGAACTGCGCCCTTCCGTGGGGCAGGCTCTGGCTTTCAGTGTCAGCGGGCCTGCGTTCAGGATCTCCGGGCCGCCTGGACGCATTACAGTGCGCTGTGCCGGTGGTTCTCGCACCCAAACGGGCTGCGCAGGGCAGTTCCATCTCCAGAACAGCGGCGGAGGTGTAATCCCGGCCATTGGCGGCGCTCGGGTGACCTCTGCGCGTGCTGTGGATGTAGTCGCGGGTCGGCACGGGTCGGCGGCGCGCCACGTGCCGGCCGGGCGGCGCGGCCGATCGATGGTCGCCGCTCGGGGGCACGGCACTCCTCTGTCCGCCGGCGGCGGCGGCGGCGGCGGCCAATCAATGCTGACACGACCCGGCCCAACCGGCCGCCGCCGCAGGCCGCCACAGGGGTCGCGGCGCGAGGGTACAACGGGGAAAAGGGTCACAGCGGAGGGGTGGAACGGGACACAAGGTCACAGTGAGGGGGTTACACGAGGAGTGAGGTCACTGTAGACTGTAAAGGCGCTGCAGGCGGAGCCGGGTCACAGTGGAAGGGTTATTTATTTATTTATTTATTTATTTCACGTCATTGGCTCACTCCACACTTGTGTGGCTATTCTAGTGCCAGAGTCAAATAATAAAATAGTGGTTGTCGGGATGACACACATACATAACATTCATACATACATACATACATACATACGCCCTCGTTCCCCCACCAATCTCACAACCACACTATCACATAAGTGTCGTCACTAGGCGCCGCTAACGATCGTTCCTTTGTTGCTGCAGCAAATGCCGACGAAGTTCTCTTTTAAAAGCTCTCATGTCCAGATCACGCATGCTTGGAGGCAGTCGATTAAAGGGACTGTCCCACCTTCAAAAAATTGCTTTGATATACTGTTCTTGTGTTGCAAGACATAGATTAGGGGCCCCTGTACACGAAATTGGCAAACATTCGGCCCATAGTTGGCTAATTGTTTAAAAATTCCAATTTAAAGCTTTTGGATCGATTACGTCATATGATTGTTTTTTTATCGGGCAAAGTTTTTTTCCTAGCTGCCAAATCGGTGGCACAAAGTTTTGTTACGCTTCTGCCGCGAATAGTACAAACATTGCGCATGAAATCAAAACTCAAGAAATTGGTATTTTAGTAACATGCAAAGTAACACAAACATGTTCAATGTTCATGGAAAGGATTGAAATGAAAATTGGAAAATTGAAGCTTGAACTTTGTCAAGAAGAAGGTCGCAAACTGCAAAGAATATCAACAAGGCCTTATTTATCATTTTTAAAAGATTATAGAATGCTCCCTAATAAGCAAAAGCAAGATATTGATGTTTGATTATTGATGCTGCCCACAATGTCTTGGGCACATGGATGGTGGAAGTGAGCTCAACTTTTGATCAGACCTAAGAATCACAATGGATATAGCCATGAGCCAGACTGCAAAGTATGGCAATTTTGTCCAGATGTTGTCAGTGCAGACTCCTTCGTCTGGTGCGGATTTAAGTGTGGTGCGGTGTGGATTTGGTTTGGTGTGGTGCAGATTTAGTGTAGCGGGGTGCGAAGTGTTCTCTCAGCCCCCTTTGGTGTGAATTTTCTGGCTCAGTTTGCAGGGCTTGTGTAAATTTTGAACTTAGGCCAGTGCTCCTTGGCGACCTGCGAGCCATACTCTGCAGTACTGGCCTGGGCCCATGAGCAAAGTAATATAATATAGTCTGTTCAAGATTCAATATAATTAGTCTGCAAAACACATTACAGCAATTGTAATTGAAGCAGAATGAATTGTAGTGACCTGCATTTGTATTTTTGTTGTGTCTGTGAAAAATAATAAATATACCTACTTATTGGAAAAATCGTGGCCTTTCAGCACATTTGGCAGAGTTGTGTGACTCTGATGTAGTGGCTCATGTGGAACGCAACGAGCTGCCGAACAAGCTTGAATAGCATTTTGCCTCAGGGCTATCTGCCAGAAACATTTCATCTGCATGAATTTATCTACAGGCAAGTCTGACAAATTTGTGGATTAACTGGGGACCTTGTAAGCCTGCATATTAAATTCTAGCCTACCAGCTCAGCCCTATCCTCAGTTTCAGCATTCAGCATGATAACAGTTCTGATCAAGTTCTGATTGTCACCACTGAGACACCAATGGAGTCCTCTGAAATTTTGCCTTTTAATTAAATTATTTGTAAGTTTCAAGCTATATTTAGACCAAACATTTCACTCTCAAAGATCTGCGACCTACCCCACTCGTCCAGTAGGATGCCTGGCGCGCAAACAGTCTAGCAGTGAGCTGCCAGCCGGCACGCAGGGCAGCAGCAGGCAGCGGCAGCAACGGCAACTGGTGAACACGTCTTGGACCCACAGCTCCTGCCCGAGGTGCCCGAGGTTGCGCAAGTCAGGGAACTGACCACCTCCAGCCCAGGCGTGGTTCACTGACTCAAGATATTTCAACTGACCAGTCAGAGTTCATGTTTTGCAACTTTTATCCAAGTTATTTGTAA